ACACACACACACACACACACACACACACACACACACATACATATACATACATACATACATACATACATACATACATACATATATATATATATATACCTGAGAAGTAGTATTTTAAATCATGAGAAAACAATCAAACCCAGTTGGGACAGACAACATTGAGTGTACTGCAAATATTTTCCTCAGTGCTCTTCAACTTTTCAATAAACAAAATTATACACAATTTACATGGTGCTATAACCACATGGATACACTACACATAGTGGCATTACAAAATTGCGAAAATTATGTTTTGGATAAGCTGAACCTTTATTTATCTCTTTTGAAATAATGTCTGTCAACATTCCATGTAGAGCAGTCATTACCAAAGATGGGTAATGACAGGTGGGTCGCAGGAGATTTTATTAGGGTTGCCAAATAAATGTGCAAATTCCTTCCATATTCTTGTATTTAACATTTATATCTACTTATACTCATCTACTTACATTATATATATACATATATACATACACATACAAATATATGAGCAAACAAATGCTAAGGAGTTGAAATTACCTCAACCATCTTTATACAGTCATTTACCATATTTAGCCCTCCACCTAACACTATCCAATTTAGAAATGAGTCAGGCAAGTTATTCATTGAATTTGAAGGAGGGAATTTTATATCCAATCACAGTAATTAACAAATAAATAAATCAGATGATGCACAACCAATTTATTGATATCCCCACAGTTGTGGTCTCGACTGGTCTTAAAATAAAGTCCTCTTAGTCTGAGACCTTCATAAAGTGGTCTTGAGACCAGTCTCCAGGTCAAGAACCCTCTAGAGTACTACAACAATGCAGTATACGAGGGAAAGTAGGTCTCACGGCTCAACTTACCTTAAAGGAACTATGCACTAGTGTTTCATCCAAATCGATGACCACACAGATCTTCCCTGCATCATTCGATTTCAGCCGTGGGAGCAGCGGCTTTGCTGGTACCTGAAGACAAACAGAGTGTGAAGATCTATCCCCAATTAAAAAGTTTCTTTTAGCTTTCAAGCCCACAATCTGAGCAGCAGCTACAAGAAATTACCATCTCAATTTGTCGAGTAGGACTTACAGCTCATTGTGTGTTTCTTGTCACTTAAGAGACTGAATTGTGTTGTGGTGTTTGTGTGAGGGGTTACAGGAAACTTTGGATGCTACAGCTGCTGCCACACTGATGGCGCATGTAAATATCATCATACCGTGGCTCGTCCTTCAGCGGGTGGTCAGAGATCGCTGTTTGTTATTGTTATTCGGATGCTAAAAACAAGCTGGCATGACCAAACAGGCTGCCTGTAACACTGATGCGCGTGTTTGTCTGTGCAGAGTGAACTGCCACGTGAGGATAATGGTGTTTGACACAGGCTGCCAAGCCGAGATCTCCTGTAACTTATTCACCACCACAGGTGGCCGTACAGTCTTGATGATTTAAAAATAGACCGACAGTACAGACGACAGATTTGCCTTGATTGTCGGCGTAAATTTAAAGGATGCCTTCACAGTTCTGAAAACCCAAATTTGATCTACTCCAATACTTCACATTTAAAGTGCAAAGACGTATTATATACCTCCTCGATTGGTGGGATGCAGTACTCGCATTCGCAAGGCTCCGAGGATTCATCGTCACTCTGCTCCTCTTCTGAATCAGTGCCTTCTTCGGAGGCCTCGTGTCCCTCGGTCCTTCTGACCAGAGTTGGTACGTCGCTTCCCTCATTTTTTGTGAGTTGTGAGACAACGCTGTGAATAATATCTAAAGTAGGATTTATTCCTCTTGACGTTTCACTGAATCCACTGTCATTGTCTGATTCGGGAGCTAGTTCTTCGGTTGCATTTTCCACAGTGGAGCGGTCGGCTAACTTATCACTCAGTTCGATAACTTCAGTAATTCCAAATCGGACTGCTTTGCACTCCTCTGGGCGGACCCCGTGTGCTTGTAACTCGGCGTCTTTCAGGGATGAAAGAGCATCTTCTCCTTCATTCCTTGGAGCCTCCCTGTGAATTACCTGATCGTATAATGTTCCTTCCATAATAAATCCATTCAGGGCTTGTTTAGCAGATGACTGGATGCTTTTTATCTGATATGCATAGTACTCCTCAACACCTGACTCACACGTCTCTCCATTTTCCTCATGATCTACAAGTGACCAATACGGCTCCAGTTCGGAACATGCATTAAATGCTTGGTCTTCAGGCTCAGGGGCAGTTGTCTGCAAATGACCAACGGTAGAGGTATTGCCCCCAAGAGATGCAAAGGGTTCATCTTCATAAGCATCCCCTTCAACAGAGATGTCCTTTGCACATGGTGCACTCATACTTTCCTCATTACCAGAGGACAGGCAGACTTCAGCTTCTTCTTCATTACCGATTTCAGAAACATGATCGTCAAACACAGGGCCCTCGTCTTCCTCTGTCTGTAATTCGGATTTGTTTTCTTCAACTTCATCCCCTGCTAGACTTGATTCTGATTCTACAATCCAGTCTTCAGGTTGTTCCTCCGACTCGCAAGAACCAAAAGAGGCATCACCTCTCTGACTTGCATCTTCCTCGTAAGCATCTTCCTCGTAAGCATCTTCCTCGTAAGCATCTTCCTCGTAAGCATCTTCCTCGTAAGCATCTTCACAAGCTTCTTCCAGAGCATCGAGACACGCATCGGTTTCCTGAACATTAATTTCCTCATTGATTTCTTCAAATTCAAGTCTCTGTGCCTCGGATTGAACTTCTTCAAGGTGCAGGTGGTCATGGATATCTCCCCCGTCGAAGCAGGAGATGTAACGTTGCTTTTGTGCAAACGCGCGTCCGTAATAGTCGCCGCTGTCGAATAGATCAAAAAAATCCTCAACAACAGCATCGACGGTGGGCGTTTCACCCTCATCACTTTCGTTGGTATTGCTTTGCTGTATTTCTTCGTCATCTTCAAAAGATTCCCACTGTGTCTGCTCATCACTTGAATCCTCCCGAGCTCCTTTCTCGTATTCCCCGGATGAATCAGAGCAGTGGTCTGAAGGAATGCTGCCATCAGGACAAGTCTTAAAGGATTTGGTTTCAACAGAAGAGCAATCTGAGGAACCGTCTTCTTCGGTCCCAAACTCAGAGGTTTTGTCAGAGCACTGCTCTGAAGTAGCACATTCTTCGTCATACTCTTGGCTCGCGTCAGAGTAACCCGTTCCACCCATTTCACAATCATCAGTGGACATGTTCAATGCGGAGGCTTGCGTTGAGTTTTCGTCAGCGAGCTGGTGCGTCTCACAGCATTCACTTGCCAAGGGAACATCTTCAAAATAGACGCGAATGAGTCGGTCGAAATGTGAGGAATTCACGTCCTCTGATAATACGCAGGACTCGTCATCAATATGCTGGGTATCATTTTGCTCGTCCTCTCCTTCAGATGGACAGCTCTCTTCACCGTCATCATTGACGCATTCATCATACTCACAAAGTTCTGTGCCACAGTCCAATAAGTCCACCGAGTTGGAGATGTTAGGCGTGAAAGCGGTTATTTCATGTTGCTCAGAGTCCTCAGTTGATGTGTCTGGCTCAGAGCCGGAGCACTCGTACCGCTGATCAGAAGGTTCGTATTGTTGCATTAACCCAAGGTGGTCCGTGCATCTAGGTATGAAATCAGACATTTCACACTGCCCGAAACCGTCACAGTTCACCGCCACTAAAGCTGGCTTAAAGTCAAAAGACTCAAACTGTTGATTGGAGGTCTTACATTGCTGAAATAACCGGAGGTGTCCCGCACAGCGTTCACAGCAAGAACTACATTTGGAGGCTACGCTATGATTGGCACAGTGCTCAGAAGAGTCGCAAGGTTTGAAGTACACACAGTGTTGAGCACATTCTTCAAATGCTTGACTTAACCCCGAAGTCTCACACTGATCGAGGAGCTGGTGAGATTGAAAAAATCCATCACTTTCTGGATATTGCTCAAAGCTCTCACAGTGTCCATTGCAATATGTGCACGATTCAGTCTCATCTCTACTCATGTTGCAAAGATCCAGACAAAGAATAGAAGGGTCCATGTCTCTGCTGACAACAGTCTGCTCCGTATATTCCACAAGGACTTGCATGCCAAGTTCGGCACTTCCCTTTGAAGGGCTGGTTAAATCCGCAGCTTCTGTTAAACTGGGAACCTGGCATTGTTCAGCAAGCATGGCCTCAGTAGACGGCTCGCCTTCCCCGGAGACTTTACTCTGCTCGGAGTTTTCCAAATGCATCAGGAAAAGAATTCCTCAGTCTGGATTCTGTTTGCTCAAAGTTTTTACTCCACGCATTGGATCCGGATCATGCAGAGTCAGAGTCCAAATGACTGGCAGGTAACTGGAGGGCCCATTCAGAGTGGATATGCACACAGCTGGTGGGGGGGGAGTCAGTGAGACCAGAGGCCCCAGGGAGAGTAACAGCAACAGGAGCAGCATGCGTGTTGATATGACAGTTTGTCACAACCAAAAACCGAGCATAGCACTTGACTCGGCCCCCCCCCCCCCCCCTTTGCTAGAGACCAAGCAATTTATTTTGGGTACTTGGAAAGACGTGACAAATAACTTCTGGAATATCAAATCTCAATAAAGAGGCTGAACTAAGGCATAAATCTGAAACCGACACCTGAGAACGTCTTGACCACTTGATCTGCAGACCATAACGGCAAAAAGTGATAATGTTTTCCAAGAATACGCTCAGTGAAACCACAGGGGGCATTGTCAATTGTCCAAAACTGTAAAGGTAATGTGACAGTGGTCAATCATTATAGTCTCTGCATACGTTATTGCAGGAAAGGTTTAAAGACGAAGACCAAATGCTCTGAAGCATCCTGATGATTAGTGTGGTGTACCTCGCTTGTGGCACATCTCCAGTAGCGTTTTTTTCTGTGTGGTGATCTTCCAGTCAGACCTCTGTAATATTTACACCATTTCCACCCTTCATGAGACGCCCAGTTATCTTGATAGATGTCTGAACACAGCAGGGCTTTTCAACACTGCCCGTAACACAGCCCAGCCCAGGAAATGTGCTCTTGTAAACACGAAAAGCTTGAAGCCAAGAAAACACGCGTTTCACGTATTACGCGGCCGTCAATCACGTCGACCGCATGCTGCTCAAAGAGGGTGAGGGGAAAAGTTGATATCACAAGGAACAGTGAGCGGTGAACTTACTTTTGACAGACTTCCATTTTCCTCGACCAAGAGGGGGGCATTGTTTTTTAGGGGAGGCGGCTCCGATTCCTTGCTACAAATACAGCAGAAGAGACTGCGGAGAAGGCCTCTGCTGCGAGGCTTCTTGGACGGGGAAACGTCGTTGGCACCTGGAACAGAGGAGATGATCTTACTGCACCAACATGACAAGGATGCATAGATCCCACTAAAGTGGAACTGATTAGGGTTATTCTTCAGCTACAGTCAAACTGCTCATCAACATGCTCTCTGGATTTCATTCATTATTCAACTGTATTGTTCTTTATTTGTGTTATTCCGGTTTTATTTCGTCAGTGACTTCAGAAATAGTATCCGGAGTGTTTCGGGCACATCTGGTCCGGACTCGCAGCACTGCTGATTCAGTAAAAGTGATCTGTGCATCCCTCTGGCTGGTCTGTCAGCGGGACCCCCCCCCCCCCTCTGTGCTCTCTGTCATGTTGTGTACTGCTGGACTATGGTTATTTTAGTTGTGCAGCAAAAGATTAAATGACTTTGCATAACAAAAAGTGTAGGTGTACATTTCGGCCCCAGAAATAGTCAGGTTGGAGACATCCTGGACACATTTCATTTCCAGTGTTGTTCAAATACCAAGAATTTGCTTGAATAATCAGAATGTCTAACATTGAACAGATGTATGTATACATAGGCAACAGGTTATTTACTGCATTGGTTAAGTACTTATGTTTCTTATCACTGCGATAGTGAATCTAAATAAAAAAATCGGATGTTTTAACCGTCATTGTTTTTGCTTGATTATAATACATATCACAGAATCACACTAAGAATGCCTTACAGTAATAAATGTACTCTATACTGTTACATGTGTTATAACAAGGGTGAGCAGGGGAGGTACTCATTTAAACTTACAGACAAATGCAGAATTTAAACTAACATGAAGCTAAATCAAATTACTAGCTGTTATCAAAGTTCCTCTCTTTTACAAATCTTACGAAGGGGAATGTCGACAACATTAAGAATTCCAATGTTGTTTCCATGGCCGAGGAAAGTTAAATGAACATGAGCTACTCTCTCTCACAGCCAGAAACCAGAGAAGAAAGTCTCAAACTTGGGAATGTTATCAAGTATTAAGTCTGGAGCTGCTCCAAAGACGATGAATGGGAGACGGATTTTCTGGAGCCACAGAATGTTTTATTTTTTATACCCAAATGAGCTTCACTCTATTGTTGTGTTCTCGGTTCTGAAACAGAAAACATACTAAACATTCCCCTGGGTGCTTTCTGTGTCATCCATAACATCTTTCCCCACTTCATTATCTATGGAGCAGTTCCACACTATATCATTTAAAGACATCACAGATTTGAGTTTTGAGTCTAGTTTTTGGATTTGGGAGAAAGTTGTTCATGTTAACTAATATCAGTGGACTGTTTTGGAAATGCACGTAGTTCCCCTTTAATGAACATGGTTTGAGCTTGAATCTTGGGAAGCAAAAACATCTCATCAACTGGTGTCAGAGCGATGAGTTTTCAAAAAAAGAAAAAATATGACAAATTAGCTGAGCCTCGATGAGCAGTCAGAGCTGTCAGCGAAGGCATTAGCACGCCGCTCAGATCAGACTCAGTATGAGGTCTATCATAGAGCTGTCAACTTGCTTTTGGTGCCAATATGAAATGATTGCAAAGTAGGACAGACGGGCAACGGTTAGCTTTTGGAGCAGACAACAAATGGAGTGTTGCTATGGTGACTGCCGGAAATGACCGAAACACGTCCTCTAACACGGGAATATTGCAAATCAGAAATAAATGATTAAGAAGGAAGCATTGTAGATGTTCTCAGCTTGCTCCGAATGTATTTAAAAAAAGATTGTACATTAGAAGTGTCCTCAGTATTATTTTTCATAACGCCAGCTATTCATCACTACATATTATATTCATTATAATAATCCCATAACAGTAAACAGCAACAAGCGGCCAATTTAAATACAAACTCTGAAAACACACATGAAATATGTACAAAATGACTCAAAGGTTATTGTAATATATGACAAATATATATATATATTTATTTATCTATCTATACAGCCTTTATAACAACCTAATAACCTTTGTTTTCGGCCCGGCTTAATCCCCTAACAAGTGTGACCTACTTTTAGGCGTTCTTCATGATGACTATGTTGACTACTTCATTCAACTGGGGCTGACAGTGGACGAGCTGTCATAATGGGCCCCGGGCATGCTCGTCGGGACATTCCTCTCTCGGGCCCCGAGGCGAGAGGCCTGCGCGTGAACAAGTGTGAGGGGACCGGGCAGGTGAAGCTTGTAGCGTTAGAAAACATCACGCTCTTCTGATATTACACATCGGAGTGCCTAAAATAGCCCGCCGGAGCAGCTGCCGACAGTGGTTAATGATGATACTCTATGCACAAATACAGTATGTAGTGCCGCACACTCACAGTAAAAAACGGTCCCAAAGAAAACCTTGCGGTGTCAAATACAAACCTACAGCAGGAAATGTCTTCCCTATGTGTTTACGCTGCACATAAATGCTCCAGGGCGTGTGTATGGAGTGAACCACGTTAAACCGCTGACACCGTATACACTACTCTGCAACATCGTGTCAGTCCCCGAGCTTCTTAATAATCACGTCTACATTGCAAATGTCAAGATAATGAGAAACAGGCTGCACAGATGGCGCTGGCTCCTGACAGAATGAGCTCAGGTCTAAAATAAGGACGGGTCACAAAGTACAAACCACAGTCACACTGGTTTCATTTACATTTACAGCATGGGATTAAAGAGAGATAATGCTGAGGTTGATCAGTGAAACAATACAAGTAATGGGAGTACAACCATTTCATATCTTTGCATGTGAACCAAGAGATGGTAAATAAACAGAACTATTAGCAAGTCGTCAGAGAAGTGCCACGCTTCAGTGGTTCAAAATGTTTAACCTTTTTTTTTTTTTTAAGACTAAGACGCTACAGCCACGCTAGTGGCTTTGTTAGGCCGTAACTGTGTCTATATGCACAGCACAAGCTACATGCTAATGAGAGCGTGGTAACACGCTCGCAATCCCAACATTAACATGCTGTCGGCTGAGTCTCAGGTGACTGAGTGGGTCGTCCATTAATCGGATGATGGGGCGATTTGATCCCCCTTAGTTTAGTACGTTAGCACTAAACATGAAGGATCGTCATTAGGTTTCACATATTTGGTCAGAAACCAAAGTTTTGGGGTATTTCTTTCTTATTTTTTCTGAAGATCACACAACTAAGTTAAGGGATCTCAAATGTTGTTACACGACATGATCGTGAGGACCAAATTTCCTGCCAATTCCTCCAACAGTTGAGTTATTTGAGTCCGGGCCGAAAGAACAACACTGCCTTCCCGAGGGCCCCGCCACCAGCGTGGCTAAAAATAATACAGCGAGAGCTTGACATGGGTGTGCCCGGTTCCTCAACACAATGGGATGCATCAAGTTTATGAAACTGATATAAAGTCTTTCAGATATCCTTTATACAGATATCTCACAGATCATCGAAAGGGCTCACGTGATGCATACAGAAGACAATATTGTGTCACGTCGAGCCATATCAGTGGCTCACTTTGCTCTGACACGGTGTCACGCGGTTCGCAGCATGTGCAGCACACACAGTTTCTTCCTCCAAGCGGCCGTCCTTGTTGCAGGGTTGGGTCCTGATCTGCAGGTGGGTCGTCACACCGGCGTGCTGGACCAGAGACGACCTTTAAAACGCTCGGCTGGTATTTAAGAGCGATCATAGACCAGAGCAGATTTTTATTTCCCCATTTATAATGAATCCCATTAATGTCATTGTAGCTGGATCCATTAGCTGCACTCATTTGCTCGCTGTTTGCTCGGGCCCGGGTGTATAATTAGGAAGCCGATATTGGTAAGAAGAAGCGAAGTGTACGGCAGCATTCCTCACACCTCTCAGACGCTGATAATGAGGTTACGGCATATCCCGAGGGGGCAGCGAAAGACCTCGCGCCATATCGGCGTGCTCCCCCACCCCCAACCCGGACGAGGTTTGCTGCCTCTGCACATGGTTGCCTTCTATTCCCATCCAGACACAGACAAGAATGAGGCCTCCCGCGGCCGCCTATCCGCCACTTGTTACACCGGATATTCTGTCACAATCTGACGAACTCGCTTCACACCCCAGCAGAGCAAGCGGTACGACGAGCCGGGTCAGGCCAGCTCATGTTTTGAACATTCTTGCATCTGAAAATCTTCATTCTCATGTCCCAAGCAAAACACAAATATTGTATTTACTCCAGCTGACGTTGCTGTGCTGCCTTCAGTGAACAGGACATAGAAATACTCGAAACTACGCAGTAATAACCATGTAATCATGGCCATAAAACGGCACATTAGAAATTGCCACCAAACATAGAATTAAACTAAAGGGTCCTGAAGGAAATGATATGGTGATGCGTATTTGGCTACGGCTACTTGTGAAACTACAGAAGGGCTGAAGATAGCTCCCCCCACCTCCCCAACCTTATGTCTCATGGCGCCTCGCTGCTGAATAGCAGCCATGTCTTCGGACTCCTGACCTCTTGGCCAGGAGGAAGTAATGCGAGAGCAGCTTGGGCTCGTAAACTGGACAGTGCTGCCATCTTCTGACTGGACACACACACACACACACACACACACACACACACACACACACACACACTTTTAACTTGAGACAAGACTATTTTGACCACAAAAAGACTATTAAGAGCTTTTAAAAAGTTAAAAACGATATATATACTGGGCAATGCCCAGCATAATAAGCATTTACTTGATGCTTAGAAAAACAGCAACACCTTCAAAGCCCCGTGAAGGAATGTTTCTTGTTTCAAAGTCACACCTGGGAAGAGACAAAAACATCTTTCAGCACTTCACTATGTGCTCATTGTTATCCTTAGCAGCGCCACACGGGGGATTCATGTGACAGTTCGGTGACCTCGTATTTCTCATGAAATTCATACGTTTCAGACTCTAATATAAAGTTCTGTGTTCTTTGCATTTAAAAGCTTGATCTTTTGAGGTTACCAATATCAAACCTAAAGAATGGAACAGAGACAACATCCTAAAATGACACTGTTTTTTTTCCGTTGGTGTTAATCCTAAATGAGGATCCTACCTCATGAAGCCAACCACTGCTCCCAAACGTGGTGTACGAGTGACATTTGATGGGGATGAGATGAATGCTTTCCTTGATACTTAGTAGGCTCCAGCTAGAACTGATTCATCTTGTGTGGGAACACTTCAAAATGTCACATTCAAATCATTGTTAATTTAGCATGATGATATTGAATAACTTGATTTCCACCATCTTGGTTTCTCCTGACCCCTGTGAGAGCACAGGTCCATTTCAAGTGGAAGTATTAACTTAGTAGAATTGTCCCCCTGTGGGAATGACTGTTTTGTACTTGTGAGCTCTTAAATTGAGACGTGTCATAAATTCAGGGAGCACCTGTTAACCCTGAACTACTGATAAGAACTACTATATCATAAGGAGTGCCACACTTATGAGTTATGGCCATGCTTTCTAGTCCCTCATATTCATAATATACGTGGCCTAGGTAATGTACATTTTAGCATTATTATGAGTTCATATTGTTAAAAAAAATACCTTCTTGGGATTATCTTGATAAGATACACTGAAGCAGATCAACATCAGAGTCCAAAACAATAACAGTGAACTGTCAAAGTGACCACGCCCCCTTTGATAGGACCTATTATTTCGGATGTTTTGCGCGCACTCTGCATTTAACACAAAACTCTGACAGCTCAGTGACTTTTTTGGTTGGTTTTGTACCACACATATTCGTTTAAATCTAAATTAGTGTCCAATATGTGCGTTTAAAGCTCCTTAACGGCTGCCAGTGGCTTCGGCCTACCCAGAAGGCAACCTGTTTTCAAACTCACTCAAAGCTGGATCAAAACGTTTAAAACAATGCCGTTCAAGGACTTTATAGTTGTTTTCCCCCGGTGCGAGAAGACACTGTCAGAGCTCGTTCACGTGCACCACTTGTTCACATTTGCGACACCGTGGCGTCCTAAAAAGACACCACCGCTCGTCTCGTTTCGTTGTCTCGTTGACATGGTCAGGCGCAGCAGAAAAAGTGCAGTAAACTTTTGGACAAACTCACCGTCCTCACGACAAGTCGCATTTTCCTCCTCGTCTCTGGTTACTTGCGTGATTATCGACGGAGAATGGTCCATTAGATCCGTCACTCAAAGACAGGGACGTTATTGCTGTATATACAAATGAGTTCGAGGTGTTGTGGCAGAAAAAAAAAAAAAAGTATTTATATTTTGCCACTCCCTGTCTGCTAACGCGCATACTGAGCATGCAACTTAAGAAACTCTGCAAACAGCAGACACGCGTGCAAAGCAAAGCGTAACGGAGCAGACTGCTCTAAAATGCAAAACGTTAAAAGCGTCTAAAATGAGTTATTTCTAAAAGTTGTTACGTTGAATAAGTTCATCTATTTGGCCACGCAAACATGGAACTTGACGGTTTCAAGGAAGCCCCATTCTTAAAGCCACAATGCAGGACGCGAGGCTCGTCGCTGAATATCACCGCACGTGTGTCGGAGTTGCTCGTTTTATTGGGGAAAATGTTATAGGGACATTTCTGTACGTTTCTGATGTTTTATTTTTGCGATATTGTGAGTGTAAATTTGCCGAATAAAAGTGATGCAACATGTATAAAATCGATATTTTTCATGTGGATAATGAAATAGTTTTTGTTTTCTGCCGTTAAAGTGAGACGTTTCTTGTGCGTGTCTTGTTTTTAAAGTTTGTTTTCAAGCACAGCGTTGACGTTGGACGGGGGCAGCCTTGAAACCGACCGAGAGAAGAGGAAGTTACACTGTCTTTAAAGTGTCCACACCTTAGATCAAAGCGACTCTCTTTTTTTGAAAAACCTCCAGCAAGACTCCTCCCACATGTAAACGAGGGCGTTTATTTACGTTTTTTTAAAACCTCTGCAACTATACTATACTGAAAATGGAACTCCTTGCTGTGACTTTCTGCCTGTTTTACTGCATTCGAATCAAATAACTATCACCACACACTGCTGAGTGGAAAAGACAGTGTAGCTGTAATTCCTCTGATCACAGCTAGATGCTGCTGGCAGCATAAAAACAAATCTCTAACTGCACACAGTTGAATTCCATTCATGTCCACATACACTATATATTTAAGTAACCCTCTCATCTTAATGTTAAATGTCAAGATGGCTGATAGGTTTTGTATTTATTATTATGGTAAAATGCGGTCTTTTTCATAATAAATCTTTACTTCCCCCCATTTCTATCAGACACAATACTTGCATAAAAACTTACACAAAAAAAAACAAAAAAACAAAACACTCCAAAAAGCTGTTAGCAAAAAAAATCTTTACTTTTTCTCATGGTCACGACTGAATGTACAGCTTGGAACACATTAGTGATACAGTATATTGTCCATTGGATTGCACTATAAGAGAAAACAGAAGCTCGTCGCATCAGCACCGGTGTATAGTGGAGAGGTTCCATCAGAGGATGTTGACGCGAGCGAAGGACTGGTCTGTGCCCAGGCTGTTCTCCGCAAACACCTCATACCTGCCAGCATCAGACAACTTTGCATTTTTGATGGTCAAGATCGTGTCAGTGTTTCCGATGTCGAAGAACACCCTGAAAGACAGTCATAGTCCCTTTATTATCGCTATTTGATTTCCCTAGAATTAGATTCACATCTCTTCATTTCCATACAGTTATTGGATAATGTTTGTAAATGTGGCATTCACAAAAAAAAAAAATGCAGATTATACATGTACACACATCCTGAAAAAGCATGGTAAACACATATGTATACATTATTCCTGCTTATTGGGTTTCTAAAAGAGACGACCTGTCATCTTCATCGATGTCATCTCCGTCTTTGAGCCAGGCAACATCTGGAGGAGGCTCCCCGCGTATTGCAGCCTTGAGCACCACCGTTGTCCCCCTCTTGGCCTTCATGTTGTCTGGGCCTTTGTAGCAACCTTAGCAGGGACTGGGAAAGCATGATGCAAATACTCCGTCAGCCACATGACTTGTGGATGATCACAAGTGCTAGAATTTGGATGTTGCCTGAAAGATAAAGTTGTACAAAAGACAATAGTAATCACTGTTTAATCTGTTTGATTAAATTCTGATTCCTCCGACCGTGTCAAACGAACAAACATTAAGATTCACGCCCCACCGTAAAACAACAAAAGCCCACTAACACTAAGTACGTGTACACACCTTCCACTAGAATACAGGCCGATCCACACGTCAGTCCGAATGGATTTTTGATGGAGACCGTGTATTTTCCCAGATCAGCCTGCACCCCGTCTCGAACCACGAGTGCCACAAAATCTGGGTCTTCAAAAACGTAGCGGTACTTGCGGCCATCCTTCAGCTGTTTGCCGTCCTTGCACCAGACGATGAAAGGGTCTGGGAAAGCGCTGCACTCCAGCTTCGCGGCGCTGCCCTCGACAAGAACCACATCTTTGAGCTCCTGCAGGATCTTGGGAGGGCCTTTCTCCCGGAGCTCTTTACGCGACCTATGAGAGGGGGAAAAACAGGAATGCAAGAATCACTTTGTGTTATTTTTTTCCTGCCAAAACGGGGTCAGTATGCTTCAACGGAGCACATGCAAAGTTTCGTACGAACAAGGACAGACAGGTGAGGAAAGGGGGGGGGGGGGGGGGGGAATAACCGACGATCCCTTTGCTTGAAGCATACTGACTGCTTTAAAACCTTCTGGTACCTAGCCCTATTTTTAGCCCTCTGCTCGAAAATTGCATACCCATACTAAAGAGAGTCCCGAGCTCTAACTACAGGGTCTATTTTAATAATTTTTATGCTAGAATACTGGAAACACTTGTGAGATGTGTTGAATTGTGTAAATATTGTGTATATGTTACTGGTTAATAACTGATACACTTATGCACACATAGCTCAAATTGAAAAATTTCTAGGTTCGCCTGAAAAAAAGCACTTATATTGAACTTTTTAAAAAAAAATAATGCAGCTGCAAGCCTAAAACTACGCCACAGACATAGAACAACACGTTTTACATGTCCCCACAACATATTTTACTTCGATTGAGTGAAGCAGGCCAGCATAAATGGTGCTAAAAATCAAAATTTTGATTTTCGGAAACCAGCTGTTGCATTGCTGTATACTAATTTCATATACTATATAACTAAATATTAACTATATATTCACTTTTCTTATCACTAAGAGTGTTCAATATTCCTAATAAATCAGTTTGACACCATTTTGAATAATTTTGAGCAGTTACGATGTGTCATATCTGTCATTCATAACAATAAATGGCTCATAATGTGTGTCTATGTGACCCTGGTAAGGCCGATTTACTGTGAGACATTTTTAGATGCGGGATAGTCCAACGGGAGCCATGCAGGGGTGTTTGATCATATCCGGGTCTGTTTACTGACTAAAAATCGCAAAATGCTGGGCGAACCCCCCTCTCTACATGGATTGCTCCACCCCACAGAATCGTCTGCCATTTTGTGATTCATTCCGCCAGCGCATTGATCTCACTCACAGACACGCAGCAGAACATGGCGGGCAGAGCTGTGCAGAAATCGGCTCGAATAAATCCGTTTTTCATCGCCAAAACGTAAGTTTTTTTTACCCATTTTTTTTCTCGTGACCTGCGGCTGATGTTGGCATGCATACCCATAACTTTTGAACGGTTTGAAAGAGAGTAATTTGGACGTTGCTGTGCGTTTCCGGGTCGAATCGTGCCCCTCCTGCATGTGTTCATCCGCCATGTGCGATCCTGCTCCGTGATGAGAGAGCCATAGAGTGAGCATAGGGCGTCGATTTTTGGCCAAAATTGTGGCAAATCTTCTAGATATCTTCCAGATATATTAGTTCATGTATAATTGTGTTTGCAGTGTTTACAATGGCTGGTATGATGATGTTGCTCGGACTTTTCCCGTTAATTCGATATTTAATATGTCTGGAGCAATAATCATATTTCTTTATGAAAAATGCCTTCTACGACACGCTGAATGCTGCACACTCTAAAACAGCCCCCCGTGGGGGCTCTCGGGTCCAACGTTAAACAATAATGCCAGTAGACGTGGGATTGTTTCGGTACCTGTGGCCACGTTACGAGGCTTGGATTCGGATGGCGGCCTCCTGGACCTGAGGATCGTTGATGTTCAGAGTGCACCCAGGTGGGGGTGCAGCCTTCGCCTTGGACATCTGCAGGGATCCGAGCAGGTTAGCACGAGAAGGAACTTGTTGAGGTCATTAAAAAAAAGCGTATTCGATATCCAAATGGCCTTTTTCACAGAAGACATGACTAATGACATTAACGATGGCTCCGTTCTATTCAAGTGTCCCATTCACCACAGCAGGACCCTGAAACTGAGGCAGCTTAATGGCATTCGTCCCTCATTAATTGAATTATTTACACCTGTGCTCTTTCTACTGCGACATGTTAAAAATTCTTCTGTGAAAAGGGCCTTTATAATCTGGAGAAGAGGAGCTCTTTACAAAATGAAATAATGTGCATTACCTTGCCGAGCATTTCTTATTTTTTTACAACCTTGTGTCAAGTTTTCTTACCTCGGAGAACCTCTCGAAGCTGCACTCTCAGATCCACACCTGAGTCAGCAAACCTAAAAACACTTCACGCTTTATGTGTAGAGGTCCTTGGGGATCAAGGAGAATGACTCGTTGGCCCGACGTTCCTTTTCCTTCTTTGGATTTTAGGAAACACTCGGCATGACAAGGCTGATTGAGGATGCGCAACAAATGTCGCAGAGGTACTTTGCCGTTTGTGATTGAAATAAAATCGTGAAACCGATTGTGGCTAAGTGGATAGCAGGGTCGGTGGTTCAAACCCTGGCTCCGGCTGTGTTAAAGCGGCAGCTATAACACAGTCACTCAATAAATAAACAAATTGCGTAACACACACAAAAGCAGTCACATTCATATAATCCCAAAATATAAGAACTTGTCATTCATTTAAACTTTTTTTTTCTCTGTGGGTCTAATATCCATCACGAGGCACTGCAACACATTCCACAAAAATACGGCAAAGGATTTTTAATACAAAACGTGGAGCGGTCAACATCTTTTTCTTTTCTTTTTTTTCAAATCCCTGTTGGCTGCTTACAAACAGTTGTAGTTCCAGTTTATATGATTGAAGAACATAATATATTGCACAGACGTTTAGAGTTGAACGCAACATTTGCATTCTCATGCTGCTCTCGCATGTTTTCATTCAGGTTTAAAAACAACTCCCTCTGTGATTAACTTCTACTCTGCATAGGAAAAGGCAAAAAAAGACAAAAGGGCAGTATTTATCTAGCAGTAGCATGAGAATATATAGAACTAGTAAAACAGTTTCATAGAATTACCAACACTCGCTCTCAGTCAATACACAGATTAAAACAACTCATGTTGCTGCATGTGTGACGCAGCTCGACGTGGTAAAAGTCCTCGGTACTTCCTTTAAGATGAATCCTATCTGTCACAGAGATTACACTTTGTGTGTGAGGCGTG